GATCTCTTGTGTGAGGAGACGTGTTGAGATATATAAAATCATCAATGTAGCATCACTTAACATCTTAAGCTTTAAAGTTAAATTAATTCTTTATACCGTGCAATACAATGGATTATTCTCGCTATACCATTTAATACATAATGGAAGAAGAATTGGGTTAACTGTTAAGTGTCATTTACAGAAATAATATCTTAAACTAGTTGTTGAATAGAAGTTTCCAATTAATTGGTACTAGTTGAGTCGCCCGAGAGAGTCGTTTAAAAAAAAAAAAAGAAGAAGAAAAGAACACAAGTCCAAAAAGAGGAAAAACGGAAAATCCGTATATAAGAGTAAAACGGGGTACGGTGGTCCCAAAGCAATAGCACATCATCAAGCTCGATAAAACAGGAGAACCCCAAACAATTCAAATTTGTTTGTATATAACTGGGTTGGTGTGGAAGCCACCATGCGCCAACTGTGTGCACGTATACTCCTTTTGTATCGTGGTGGACTATCACTCTTTTTTGCTTAGTTTTGTCCTCTTTCCATAAGTATACTGTGACAGCCCCAACTATTTTCTTCTTTGTTTCGTTTCTCCACGTTTTTTAATGTGCATAATCAAAATTTGAGCAGGGATTTAATGTTTCTAAAATAGAGGTAGATAAGTTATTTATATTTGCTCCAAAAAATGACGTGATCTTGGGTTGAAAAATTAAAAAGTTATAAAGAAAAAGATTATTATAACCCTGAAATAAATTATAATTACAAAAATATTTTGATTTCCGCTTCAAAATGACATCGTTTTGGGTCCAATGTAGATAAATTATCTACATTGAATGTAGAAAAAGCAAATCCTTAACTTAATCACTATTAATTTTTGTCGATTCAATGTTATAATTTATTGAAAATTAATAACATTTATTGAGTTACACTTATTATTAATTATTAATTTTCAATAAATTATAACCGTTAAATTGACAGAAATTAACATTAAATAAATTAATTATAAGAGTGATAAGCTTTTTTTGTGGTAAGTGAATCGTTCCTTATTAATTTCTAGAAAGTTTGATATGAAAATCAAAATAGTAATTGATTGTCGTGTTTTACATTGGTGGTTTGGACTGAATACGTAACTCGTTCCTATTTCGTCTCACATTATTTTCTGATTCTCATGTACAATCACATTTTATTATCTGTCTTCATGCTTGTTTCCCATGATTGACGCTACCGGATCTGCAACACTAACGGTTCACTTCTTTATATGTCTTTTTTGGTCCTTAAATTTTTTTTTGGACCCCCTTTAGTTTCTTCTTATAAACAAAATTAGTCACCCGATTTTTATGAAATTTAAGGTGAATTTATTTTAATTTTTTTGAGGGATTGATATGAATTTTTTGTGAATTTGTAAGAAACCATTAATTTAACTAAATGAGTCTATTTTAATTTTTTAAAAAATCACAATACTATTTTTTTTTGGTATGAAATTAAAGTGAGGGATTGTATTTTTTTAAAGAATTAAAAGAATATTTACTCTACTCTAGAACATTCGAGACATGAAGCTGCTTATAGGCTCACGAGTTATGGCCTCGGGAACAGACACACCTTTTTGTTCGGCCCCTTGTTCATGAGTTTAAGCAATTATTTTAACTCAAAATTTAAATGGTAAAACAACTATCATCTTAAAACAATTCTCTTATCATGTTATAGAGACAATAAGAGCTTGTTTGGTGGACATGATAGGATAAGGGTAGGATATGATATGAGACTGATAAGGGTAGGACATAATATGGAATTAATAAACCTATATCATGTCCTGTATTTGATGAGCACTTGATTAACAATCTGATAAGATTATGTAAAAGAAAAAAAAGGAGAAAGAAAAAATAAAATATAATGCAATAAATACAAATATATTGGATAGCGTGGGGATATATTGGGTAGCGTGAGAATATATTGGGTATCCAATATTGGTATCCTATCCTATTGAATCGTAACTCAGCTCCCCCCATAGGATAATAAATCATGTATTAGATAGGATAAAATGAGAGATTAGTATAAGCTAATCATATCCTATTGACCCACCAAATAAGAGATAAAAATAGGATATGATAAGTTATCCTATCCTATCTTCTTTATCAGGTGCTCCAAACAGGCCCTAAGTGTAGAGTACTAGAGTCCATCATATTTAAAATAAAAAAGAAAAAAAAACACAGTATAAATATCGATGTATGTGTAGAAAATTTTGCATTTGTTATGCAACATGATAAATGCAAAACTCAAATTTAAACTAGTAAATGATTTCTACGTTAATAATTTTATATTATATTTCTCAAATTTATTCGACATAAGGTGTAAATAGTGTATAGACCACTTACAGGTATTAAAGAATTTCACAGTTAGTTACTATTATTAATTCTTACACTATGCAATGCAACCAATTCAATTCTTAAACTTGTTAATAAATATTAATATCTATATTAAAATTTTTATATTAGACTTCTCTCACATTAAATAATATCTACATTAAGAATTTCACAGTTAGTTAATATATATATATATATATATATATATATATATATATGGTAAATAATTTTATAATCACTTTAGATAAAGTTATTTAGAACTATTCTTTATAACTATGCACACTTAGATATATATAGTTATAATATTGAAGTTATATATTTTTCTCTCTCATCAGTCACTTTTCAGAATCTGTCTATTAACATAAAAAGAGAAAAAAAAAAATTTAATATTATAACTATGTACTTCCGAGAGTACATAGTATAAAAGGATAGTTACCCTTTATAAGTATGTACTTTCCGAGAGTACATATATATAAAACTTAATTTCCCGGTGCCTCATTTTCTTTCTAACGCACATCTAGATTCCTGGATGTTTCCGTTCCGCCGCCTGCGATTTTTCCAAAATACTATGGGATTTTCTTCATGCAAAATGGAATATTTGTTATGGCTGAGAGATCTCATACACACTTTACACATTTTTTTGGAAACTGTACAGGGTCGTGATCTGTTATATGAGAGATATTGAACTCCCATTGAAAACTTAATATACCAAATAATAACCAAGCTCCCACACAGAGAAAAATTTAAAGAATTAATTAACTCGGAATTGACCTAAATGAAAAGAAAGATGAAGAATATATTTCAAACGCGAGATAGTATCTCTGACCAAGTTGGCTTGTTCTATCAATAGTGTTAAAAACTAAGATAAAATGTTAAAAAGACTCTCACTCAACAACTTAAGCTTTTGGGTTGAATTGGTTCTTTATACGGTGTCAGAGCCTTTGGTGTCACGAGTTCGATCCTGATCGCCCTATTTAATTAGTAATTAATTAATTCTTGTAGGTGAGTCTGTGCATTGTCTATCTTTCAAGCCCAGTGGGCTATCGTGTAAAGGGACATATTAGAGAAGTATAAAAACTATTAATGTAGTCTTTGTTTTGTGTTAAATTGATTCTTTACGTGGTGCAATATCCACGCTTCAAGCTCCAATGACTCTTGTGTGAGGGGGTGTGTTAAAGAATAATATACACGATTAAAAAATCTTCACCCAACAACTTAAACTTTTGGGTTAAGTTGGTTCTGTACAAGTAGTTTGCAGACGAAGTCTGGTAAACAATCATATCGCATAATATCTTAAGCTGGTAAGTAACGGGTCTTTAATGATTTTATATTATATTTCTAACAGGAAGAGCCCTTTGGGCTTGGAGCATGAATATTGCACAAGCCCATGATTTTTCGTGTGTGCTGACTTAATTCCTTTAAAAAATAATGGGCGGTAAGGATCGAACTCATAATCCCGTATATCATGACAAAAACTATCTTGCTTAATAGCTCAAGTTAATAAGTAATGAACCTTCAATGATTTTATATTATATCTCTCTAACCATGTAGAATAAGCATATATGCATGAGTCGTGGTTAGCTTTTTTTTTTTTGTCTTAAATTAATTTTTTCATTCATTAACACATGGTAGCCATAGTCTCCTTGTTCAGATTCTGTTCTCCACCCACGGTATGTATGTCGTATAACTAATGCATTACCTTTTCTTACAACGTACCCTCAATGCCTTGGACTAAAATTTTCTGTGTTTTCTTAGGCGTAGACAAGAAAAGTAAAGAAAAGAAAATGACTTGAAGTGCCATAATAATCCAATAAAAAGGAGATACACAATATTTAAGTAAAATAAGAACAAAAGGAGATACACAATATTTAAGTAAAATAAGAACACAAAGCATATAAAAAAAGTGGGAAGATGAAAATGAGAATAAGAAGGTACATGTACAAAGATAAAAGAGTAAACACCCTTTTTAGTCCCTGTCAATATCTACGAAGTCCTTTTTAGTCCCTGGCAATAAAAAAGGACCATATTGGTCTCTGAAATTACAAAAAAAGGATCATGTTAGTCCTTATGTTAACTCCCAAATATGTAGAGTGGCCCTTTTCTTGTACTTTCAGGGACCAATTTGGTCCTTTTTTATTGCCAAGGACTGAAAAGGACTTCGTAGATATTGCCAGGGACTAAAAAGGGTGTTTACTCAAAATAAAATAAGGAAGATAAAATTGCTAGATAAAAGTGTGTGAGAAAAATAAAATAAAATAAAATAAAAAGGGGGTCAGAAAGGGTTCCTCTAAAAAACATTGGCATGTCTTTTGCAGTTTGCTGATATATATTCCTTTCCAAGAATTAAAATGATTAGGTATAAAGTATTTATCGCCTCCACGAAACAAAACACGAATCCAAATAGCACGAAAATTCTCCAACATGTCCAAGAGATTAAATAATATGGTTAACAACTGTCCAAGATAAATTGTCATTCAAACCTTTCAATATTTTCTATTTTCACGTTCTTCAAAAGTCTACAACACGTGCAGTCATTGTGACGTCTACAAGCAGCTTTATCAGTCCTATATAGAAGGATAACCTCATACTTTCATGCCACACACACATATTTTGCAAACACCGTCAACCAGCTTTGGTTAGCTTACCTTTTCAGCAACCATGGAAACCCTAAACAACCATCCAATTTTGGTTTCTAAAATCGCCATTATAGGGGCTGGAGTAAGCGGCATAGCTGCTACCAAACAACTATCCCACCACAACCCTCTTGTTTTTGAGGCCTCTGACTCCATTGGTGGGGTTTGGAAGCATTGCTCCTACAATTCTACGAAGCTTCAGTCACATCAACGGGGTTATGAGTTCAGTGATTTCCCTTGGCCTGAAAGAGATAATTCAGATTTCCCTACCCACTTGGAGATTTTGGATTACTTGCACTCCTATGCTGAGCACTTTGATGTGCTGAAGAACATTAGGTTCAACTCCAAGGTGGTGGAAATCCGGTTTGTTGGGGACCAAGATGCCTCTGATTTTGAAGATTATGGAAACCCACTTCCTGGTCAGCCAGTATGGGAAGTTGCTGTTCAGACCAATCAATCAGACACCATTCAGGTCTTTATTCACTTTCAACTCTCGGCTAGCTTCAACGTATTTTTGGTTAACTAGCTAGGGTTTCAGAAATGAGAACAAGACTTAAAAAAATGAAATTAAACAAAATAATTACTGTTCAAAAATATTATATAATTAACTCTATATATCTTCCCTAACTATATCTCATCCCTTCCCTAAAAATAACTCTATGAGAAGTTTATCATCCTCTTACTATTAGCCTTTTCTTTTAAATTCAAACAAGCACCTTTTTCTGATTAATCAAAGGTCTTATTTCAAGTGACCAAGCCAGTTTATCGGTACTTTAACTTACACTCTATTAAGATATAACAAAATAATATATGTCTTTAGTAATAGCTTAAATTTTTTACAGAATTGATTGCATGACATAGCATCGGAGTTTCTTAAATCTAGAGATCTAGAGTTCAATAATTAATATACCTATTATTTTAGGGTTTTGCATTTTTCATGTTGCATGATAAAAGTTGAGTTTCTTACATATACATCAATATTTGTGCTGCATTTTTTTTTTTTCTTTTTTTTTAAAAAAAAATGCATGATAGACCCCACACTGGTTATCTCTATAGCATGATAAGAGGATTGTTCTACCAACATGATACTTGTTTTTACCATTCTTTTAATATAAATAAATATATATCCATATTTCAATTCCTATAATAGCTCTTGGTGTGCTGGGTTTAAGCAACGTCAATGTTTCAATCCTTAAAATTGGCTTTTGGTGTGATGGGCATGTGTATCCAAACTTGAATCCTATAAGAGGTGTCCTAAGAAATAGTATTAAATAATAAATGTGCTCTAACCAGCAAGCTTAATCTTTGGGAGAATTTGTTACATTACACACTCATTTTCCCCGCATCAAGCCTTAGACATCCTTTACAAAAAATTTAAACGCTAAAAAAATTTAAAAGCTAAATCTCTTATATATATATGGGTTTACATTTCTACAGCTGCTGTACATGCAACAATCAAATACTTGCCATATATATACTTAAAAACATTAAATGCGGGGAATCATAACCATACAAAGGATGCAAGCATTAAATGTGAGAAATCATAACCATACACCTGTCGTTGCTGTACGTAAAGTGGCTGCAGAAATAATTTTACCATATATAATGCTTTCATCTTTTGTATGGTTATGATTCTCCGCATTTAATGCTTTCAAGCATATATATGGCAAGTATTTGATTGTTGCACGTACAACAGCTGCAGAAATGTAAACCTCATATATATATATATATATATATATATATATATATATATATATATATATATATGGGCTTATCATTTCTCAAGCTGCTTGAGATAATTTTATCTCCAGCTACTAAATCATAACCGTACAAAGATGAATCAACGGCGTTAAAGGAAAAGAGAGAAAAAGAAAATCATAACCATTCAAATGTGAATCAATTAATATAAGAAAATAAATAAATAAAACGACTAGTTTTGGAGTGACCGGAGATAAATATATCTCAATCAGCTTGAGAAATATTTCTGTCTCTCTCTCTCTATATACATATATATATATATATATATATATATATATATATATATATATATATACATATGGGGAGGATTATATTTACAAAAATTTTGTTTACAAACTCTTACAAATTACATTATGTACTCTCGGAAATACACTATGTACTCCTGGAAGTACATAGTGTAATTTGCAAAAAAATTTAAAAAAAATTAATAAACGGATCCTTCGCTATATATATATATATATATATATATATATATATATATATATATATATATATATATATATATATGTTTATTTATTTATTTTCAAAGCTATGAACTCTACCTCCCACCCCCATTCACTTGATCTTTAAGCTGTAAGCATATTATTTGGGCTGAACATGATTTCTCTACTTCATTCAGTGGTACGCCTTCGAATTTGTAGTGGTTTGCATTGGAAAATATGGTGACATACCCTTGATTCCAGAATTTCAAGACAGCAAAGGCCCTGAAGTTTTCAAGGGGAAGGTCGTGCATACGCTTGATTACTGTAAACTTGACCAGGAAGCTGCCACTGAACTTCTCAAGGGAAAGAAGGTTGTGGTGGTCGGTTTCAAAAAGTCAGGTATCGATATAGCCACGGAATGTGCTCAGGCAAACCAAGGTAAATTATCCACCCTATTTGATTTCATTTTATTTTATTTTTACTATTATATATACACTTGAAATTGAAAAGCATTATAATGAAAATATGAGTGAGATTTCATATTATTCAACCTGGACAGGTAATATTGCTAACATCTCGGTTCTATTTATTTTACCATATGATGCCAAAGATGATGCAATAAATAACGACAATCTACGAAATATTCACATATTTGTTCACTGGCTTATTGCTAAAGATTCATTAACAAGCAAGGGCTTTCAAAATAAGTGATTTGTGTTAGACAAATATAATATGAAGTTGTGGGATAAGATATAAGTTTTTTTTTTTTCATGTCTACTCTACTTATTCTTCTCCAACATCCTTATATCAAAATCTCAACTGACTTTCACATTTTTTCTTTCTTCTTAAAATTCTGATCTAAGGGTTTTGAAGAGAGTAGGTAGAGTGGCATGAACAAATATAGGCATAATATCTTATTCATAAGATTATTAGCGTGACATTGACCTAACTATTTAAGTTTTTTATTGAATTATCAAGAAGTCATGAGTTTGATCCTCGTTGCAAATAATTAATGTAATAGATGATTTATATATATTAATTCTCGTAGTTTGTTCTAGTGGCTACCCAGCTAGATCTTAGGATTTAACATGTCTTAATAGTAGTGAGTTCAATTCTTGCGAGTTACAATTCCTAGGTGGAGAGATCCAAATCCAAAACCGAATTAATGGGATTTATTAGGGCTTCAGACGTTGGTTTATATATATATATATTTTTTAATAAAACAGAAGTTACTCGTTTTATTATCTAAAATCTTCTTCGCACTTCTTTACTTGAGTATTATTACTAACTTATACAAGGATTTAAATCTTATTCATGCCTTCTTCTGAAACGAAAGAGATTTTAGTACTCTGTAAAATTAAGTACCTGAGTTATTAAAATCATTATATCTTTGTAGAAGACTGTCTAATGATCCACCAGATCAAAGAGTAAAGATAATTAATTAATCGAATAGTTGGAGTATATTTGACTCTTTAAAATGCATGTTCACAAAACTTGAAACAAAATTTTCCGGGTTCATGATAAATTTTAGAGAATAAGTATTAAGTATAAAATTATTCATTATATATTAGTATAAATATTTTTATGATGTCATCTAATAAGTTACAATAAAATAGTTTAACCTCTGAGGCAAATACAATCAAAATTAGATCTTTTAATATTAATGTGATCATACTGTTTGTAGATTTAAATTAAACTTATATAAAAGTCAATGGTTTAGAATAAATTCTAAATTATAATTTATGATTCTACAAAAATCAACTCATTTAACCTTTGGATCATCATTATTCTTCTTATTTTTTTTTTAAAGTTCACTTTAAAGCAACTAAATCAAAATTTAAAATAGATATTCTCAAAGACTTCCTTTTAAACTCGATTCCATATCTTGCATGATCCCACATGTATTATGAAGTTATAAAAAGAAGACTTTGACTGTCCCATAACTCAGGTTATATCACTTGGGAATGGTATACAAATTGAATTCTAACATAACTTGGGGTGTCCTTCAATTCATGGCGGCCTCTAGAACCTGTGAATTCTCTCGGTCTTGGTTTTCTACATTTTAGAGATTAATTTTATTAATTTAATATCTTTTTAAAATCTCTAGCAATCTACATTCTTCTACTTTAATTTTTTAAATAAAAAAAATGCTGAGTCTAGAGTAAAACAATACTGTTTTGCATTATAATGACCATTTTTCGTAGGCAAAAATTATGGTCAAATAGATAAATGGATTATTGGAGATTTAAAATCTTACAAAATTAATTTGATAAAATAAAATCCTAAACGATCATATTAATAAGGGTTTTATTAATTTTATGTAAAAGCAAATAAGGTGTCTTCTACTATAGACACAACTATATGTGGGGCTTACTTATTATTAAAAAAAGAAGAAGAAGAATAGCACATAAATCAATGTATGAGCTGGAAAGAGAATTAATCTTTTCCCTATTAATAAAGGATGTATATGTTATGACCGAAATATGAATTTTACTACAAATATATTTTGACTTATTGACTGTAAAGATGTTCGTCTCATTAACTTCAATCAGTAATTGCCTGAAAAGTTCTCTTTTGTTTGATATAATTCCACAAAATAAGTTTTGACTTGACAATATATAGTGGTGCACATAATGAATGACGACAAAAAGGTTTGAAGGACGGATTCCAAATTTCATCATCATCCACGAACGCCAGAGACGCTATAGCTGTCTATTAGATGTGTCAAACTTAAATATTATTTTACCCCCGAGTGGTTGGTGTAGTGAGTGACTATCGTGTTTAGGGGTAATAATTTTTAAGACAACCTGCTAACATAACATCAACACAATGCAAAAAATTTGTTTCCCGTTCAACCTATTTTTGAATTCGTATGGTATTTATGATGGCAAAAACTAACCCGAAATAGTTATGTTGGGGTTAACAGATTATTTATGTAACGATGTATTGTGTCAACTCACATAATAAGTGATATACTATGAGTTTACAGATTATAATTCGTATCGTGTAGTGTCAAGAAAAATAAGTGATCTGTGTTCTTGTTAAAAGTTTTAACCCAATTTTAAATTTGTGTCATGTTTGAATTAAATGTATTCGTATTTTTGTCGAATTTGTATCGTGTCAATCCGAATTGCCAACACTAATTTTAGTTAGATTTTGAAATTTGACCTATTAAGAGATAGCGGGTTTGAATTGTGAGAGTTAAATTTTTTAGAAAAAGTGTAGAGACACAAAAACATTAATTGGACGCATTAGGGCTATGGATACCGATAAAAATCTACTAAAAATAATTATGTTATTTTTTATCGATATATTCTAATTTACCTTGACTAACCAGCAACCCCTGATCTAACTCAGGTTATCTTCGTTCTTGGACTGTCTTAGATAATTACACCTTCTATGTGCCTTTAGATAATTTATGAATGATTGTATATTTAAATTTCTTAATATTATCATACTGGAAGCAAAAAAAAAAAAAAATAGATAATTTCCAAAAAGAATAAGAAATAAAGTAGATGACAATAACAAACGTTGTTTGGTAAAAACACGGTAAAAATACACAGATTAAATAGAGTTACATTAAATTTGGTTTTGCAAAAGAAGAACAAGATAAACTCATAAATTATTCTTATAAAATTAGCGAAGGACATAATTCCATGTCAACTATAGGAAATGCTATTTGCTTTGTAAGAAGAAGAATAAACTTCTATGAAATGAAAGAGTTCGCGGGAATTGTCTTGATCGTCGGATATCATTTTTAATTAAATAGTAGTATAAAATGTATCAGTATGAGCGTGCTCTCCCTATATAATTATAAGTATGAGCTTAAAGTGAAGTTAGTAGCTGAAGTACTCTTTCGAGATATGAGTTCTAGCTAAAGGTAAGCCACTCCCCATTTGCTAGGTCTACAACCATTATCACTTAAGGGAAAGTAGCTCTCCTAGCGAAATAACTTGTTTAGCAATATTAGGGCGGACCAACACTGTGAGTTCGCTTCTTTCGCCCAAAGGTGCTCATAGAGCCGGTCCCGGGTAGGCTAAGATCCTCTCAGAGCGGAAATGAAGAAAACCAAGCAAGTGTTTATTGTTTTTAGCATGTCAAGTGCGAGTTGTCCCCTATCCTATAGAGCTGGACCTATTCTGATTCTGAATTATCCGTCGCTACGCTGTTCCCAAGGACTAGCAAAATCGAAATAGCGAAATCCTTGGGTCATCTCAATGGGTTCAGAAACCACACGTTTCTCTGGATCATCATAGCGTACTTCTACATATCCACTCAGAGGAAGGTCTTTTCGTAATGGATGACCATATCGTCGTCCAGGGTGCGTAAGCCTTCTGATCCTACTTTGTCGTTTAGATTATGCCAAAAAGACGGGGAAAATGATCAACTGTCACATTTTGATGCCAGTTTAGGGCTAAAATGAACTTTCATCCAAAAAGACCGAGAAAACGCTCAACTGGCAGGATGGAACTGTCACTAAAGAGGGAAAAGTGATTGCTTCCAATTTTCCCGAGAAAATGGCACATTCACATTTAAGATAATCGGCTGGCTGTGGGCTTGAAGGAAGATAAGAATTCAAGGATAGCTTTGGTAACTTTTTTCCCCACAATGCTCCAGCTGGATTGAAAGAATTCAGCAGTCAAACCGTCAGGTCCTTGTGCCTTATTTGCCTTTAGAAAGATTGTCTTCTTCACATCATCAGCCGTCATAAGAGCCACCAGTGCAGATCCTTGCTCATCAGTGAGAAAATGCCCCTGCATAAAATGCCCATCTATAGGACATAAATCAAGCCTTAAGCCATACAGTCCTTTACATGCGATGCGGCATTCCTCCGATGACTTATCAAAGACAATCACATGAAAAAACTAACAATGACTTGGATTTTTGGATCTTTACCTCTCAAAAAAAGGTCCTTTATTGAACAAATTCAGACAGGTAGATTGTTCTCAACTTCTATAGAAGAATTATATGGTTCATGGAATAGGTTGAATAGTGTGATAACTTGTACTAGATATAAGGTAATATATCCAGGATCTATGTATGCTGAAACTGTGTTTAGTGAACCGTTCCCCCGTGCTTCTGATATTCATGTTATCACATTGGCATTTATACAATTGCTGGAGGAATATGCATTTCATCTTAGGTCAAATTATGTGAAATTCACTTTCGGCTATAATATGCAAATCAAATCACATAGTACTGTTCCGTTCACGTTAAGTACCGCATTACCATTGTTTACACCCACTGGTCTTCCTGTAAATAAAAAAGATATCTATGAGAATATTGAACAAATAGTCATGATATATGCTTATAGATATCAAGATGCTTTGATTAAAAGTGTCTTTATTCGTTTATATTACGAAGATAATAAGGATGTAGCATTCGATTTGAAATTTCCGGAGTTTCCTATCCCTGCAAATGATATGATAAGAGATATCATGAATGTTCTTGTTTATGAACAAGGAGGTAATGCACTACCAGATGTCAAATCACTTAAGCAAAAAGAGGGGCGTTATCCTACTCAAATTACCGAATGAAAATGTAAGAAGACTGAATGTAGGCCTTTCATTGTAGCCGATACCGAGACTATACTGATCAATAACCAACAAGAGACCTGCTACATAAGGCTATATTTACCCGACCTGATAGCGCTTTTCATTGGTCTAACCTCCATACCATTCACAATTGCTGTAATGGATTCCGTAAAATATCTTTCATAAGATAGTTTCTCACATAAATGAGTCCTCCCCTGACCTGAAGTCCTTTCTGCACTTGCTGCCTAGCCTTCGGGAATGAAAGTAAGTTCCCCTGGTTTGGTTATTTATAAGGCCTAATCGCTTTCCAACATCATCTTTCTCGCTTTCCAAAGCAAAGGTAAACGACTAACTAAGCAAAGCACTAGCTACGGTCAGCCTTAGACAAGCCAATCATTCACACCTGACTTTCTCTATATTAACTTTTTCTATAGCTAGTCCTATTGAGTAAGGGAAGGGGTCAGTAGGCTCTCTATCTCAATCCGAGGAACTGAACTAGAGCTCAGGAAGAAGCCAGCCCTAAATCCGTTTATGAGAACTTCACGATTGGACGACTAAGCACCAACTTCCGCAAGGACAGCCCTGAAGGATAGGACTTTTTTTCTCTTACCAAGAGAGAATAAGGTAAGAGATTCAGACTGTGAACCTTACGATTTTGCTATATGAGCAGTTGGACTTAAAAGGGCCGGAAGAGAAAGAATTCCGAACCCCTTGTTGAGGGGGCCGACCAATGGAATGGGACTTGAAAAGATAGAGGGGGTTTTCCCGACTAGCTGAGAATCTTTACACCGATAGTCTTTCTACGGCTATGGATCGCAGAGGTACCTCTGTCCTTTCTTCTGTTAGCTATATTAACTCTTCGAGTCGAGTTCTAGTTGCTATAAGAAAATTATCCCAAGGAAGACCGCCCCCGGAACCGAAACCTATGAGACTTCTCAACAGCTGCCCTGAAGAAAGAGGGAAGACTCTGTTTCAAACTGTAGGAAGAGGCCATGATTCAAGACTATATAGGGAAAAACTATCAGAACTAGCTGGCTGGAAATGGGGATTCCCTGCCTTTTAACCTTTAGCTCTCGTGTAAAGTAAACCACTCGTTGCTTGCAGACTGGCTTTAAGAATCGGTAATCAGAGGAAAGGATCTAGGCTGGCTTACAACTGTAGCGACCCGATGTAATGCAAAAAAAACCTACTGACAGGCACACCGTCCTTATTCGCTTCCAACGAAGAACCAACGGAGCAGAAGGCGGTGCGGGAAAGAGGATGAGCTGCCAAGCATTCTCAATGGCTCGAAACTCCCTTCTCCCTTGCAACCTCTAAAACGAAAGATCTAATGCTTCAGAACCTAAATGCTCGATAGACTGGATGGCAGAAGAGGATCTAAGATGTGCGGAAAGGCTAGAAGGAAAAAGATCTAGTACTTCCAAACCTACACTAACTATCAAGCCGACTAACCACTTTTACCTTTCGTGGAAAGTCTTCTCCTCGTTCTGATTCTCTTGGGCATCTCACTGGGAATGCTATGCATTCTTTTCGTAGTCATGATTTTGAAGACATGAAGTGATCATTTTTATTTTTGGAAACTATGAAGCGATCATTTTGCTTAAACTGTTTGCATCTCCAGCGAAATTATAAACCCATCAAAGGAGAAGATTGAAGGATAAAAAAAATCTAATAATTGTTACTTTCCCTATATAGAATTTGTTGTTGAGGAACTTGTCGTTGTACAATCACAAACCTTTTTGTTTCTTAAATTTTAACATCATAGCAATGGTGCTTTTAACTTGTTGAAGGACCTGAAGGGCAAGCGTGCACCATGGTAATAAGGACTTTGCATTGGGTAGTTCCCCATTACTGGATTTGGGGATTGCCATTTTTCTTGTTCTACTCAACAAGGTCTTCTCAGTTCCTCCACGAAAGACCTAACCAGGGTTTACTCAAAGCACTTCTTTGCCTCCTGTTATCTCCAGTGGTAAATTAGCATTCTTAACTAACTGAATCATATATTATAGCCTTGAATAAATGCTCTTGTTATGCTTCTAATGGTTTTTTGTTATAATGTCCTTCAATAGAGACGTGGAATTTCAAAGTTTATTGAGTCCTACCTGCTCTGGAAACTCCCTTTGGATAAGTATGGGTTAAAACCAGAACACCCTTTTGAGGAAGATTATGCATCTTGTCAAATGGCTATCATGCCAGAAAATTTCTTCTCTGAGGCTGATAAGGGAAAAATTGTATTCAAAAAGGCATCAAAGTGGTGGTTCTGGAGTGAAGGGGTTGAATTTGAAGACAATTCTAAAATAGAAGCTGATGTTGTGATTCTTGCAACTGGTTTTGATGGAAAGAAGAAGCTCAAAACCATTTTACCAGAGCCATTTCGTAGCTTGTTGGATTACCCTTCTGGAATCATGCCCTTGTATAGGTAAGGATTGTTTTCATTTATTCATTTCTCTAGCTTTCAAAGACAAATAGTTGAGATCCATAATTGAGTCATTTTGTTTATGACAGGGGAACTATCCATCCATTGATTCCAAACATGGCTTTTGTGGGTTATATTGAGAGTGTTACAAATCTTCACACTTCAGAGATACGATCCTTGTGGCTTTCTGGACTAGTAGATGATAAATTTAAGCTCCCGAGTGTTGAGAAGATGTTTTCACAAATACTTAAGGAGATGGAAGTCATGAAAAGGTCAACTAGGTTCTATGAAAGGCATTGCATTTCAACTTATAGCATCAACCACAGTGATGAAATATGTGAAGATATGGGTTGGAGTTCATGGAGGAAGAAGAACTGGATAACAGAAGCATTCAGCCCTTATAGCAGTGAAGACTATAAGAAGGAAGATTGAGAATATAATCACCATCCTATATGTGGTTGCATAAGTAGTAAGATGATATAAAAGAAAAATAAATGCATGTCCTCTGAGAAAGAAATATCTAAGCAGTCTATTTGGTTTCCCCTTAAATCAGAGATTGGAAAATTAAAGGACTAGTTTACTATAAAACTCGTCCCTGAATTTTTTAGCATATTTTTTAGTGTCACTAAATTGACCTTAGGTGATGAAAAGATGGGATACGTGCTGTTCAACCAATCAGGGCTATGTTCCACACTCAAACTCTGTTGTGCCGATTCCAAAGGGAAGAACCCTGTCCTTTGGTGTTGGTCCTTGTGGTAACTAAAGAAATATGTCAACAATGGGATTCAAAGAAAATGCACTTATAATGTTAAATAAATTGAAAATTTCATTAATCGGCTTCAAAGAAGTAAAAGTACATAGACAAATTGAACCCTGAAATGAAGGCTATTGTAAAGAAATAGACTGTGAAAAATGAAGGCTATTGTGGAATGTTTCATCTCCAAAAACAGTAAAAAATGACCAAAACTACATTTCTGTATGTTTGAATATGGACAAAACTGCCCCATTTCCTCACTCCAATTTTTAGGAGTCTCTCTCATTTCCCTGAATTGCTCATTATCACGCCTCAAAAGCTTCCAACTTTCTTTGGCGTTCACCTTACCCTTCAACAAATTCGAGCCCTTCTGTCACGGCCCAAAATTATTACTAGGTTGTCACTGGCGCGCGTAGTCTACTATTACATTCTAGCAGGCCTTAATAAGTAAAACAAATAAAATCAAATTAAACAAATTTCGTCAACCAGAGTCTCCCCAAAGTATCGACATCTCTGAATGTAACCGGTGTCCAAATTCATCCATAATCAACACACAACATTCAAATTCGAAATTCAATTCACAAGCACATCATGTCCATAAAACATGCCTTATTATAGTTGCAAGACAATTGGAGTCCTGGACAATTCCAAGAAAACTCCTAGCTACAGATCAGAGATGGGTTATGTTTATCTCATTTTACATGAGATAAACATCTCTCCTACACACACAAAAAGGGTTTGGGTCCCACCACTTTTTTTTTTCTCTCTCTTCTTACATGTGGGTCCCACTTATACTTTTATTTCTACAACATGAGGTAATTCTTTTCCTACAACATAAGAAAAATATATCCCATCAGAGATATACCAAAAAGGTTCAAGGAGAATAGAAACCTAGGGATATGCTACTCTATAATCTGCTGATCTGAAAATTCTAATAAATAAAAAAATTGAAATAAAAAAAATTGAGTCACGTGAGTTTAGCAAAGGCAAACTACAATACACTAGAAATCAAACAGTAGACCTGTGAGCAAAGAAGCACGGACACTTGTAAAAACAGGAAGAGTCGGCTCGGACATGGCGATACGCTCCGACACGGTCAAATGGCATTTTCGTAATTTTTTTTAAAAAAATTTTTTAAAATTTTTTTAAAAAAAATTATTTTTTTTAAAAGTTAAAATATATTAATAAAGCTTCCACCTAATCATATCAATTTTATCTTTTTGTCTTTTTTTCCTTAAGTAGATAAGAGATCATCTCAGCATCATTGTTGTCAATTCATATCACGCTCTTGTTGCATCTTCTTCTCTCTGATCTCTCTAATATGATTTGATCTCTCTATCTGATATTATATATATCTCTCTCATCCCAGTTCTTATTTTTTTTATTAAAGCTTCCATCTTTATAACGTGTTGATGGGTATTATTAATTTAGTTTCATTTTTTTGTTAAATTATTAAATATTAAATGAAATATACACTATATAAATTAAAAATATTATTTAATATTAAAACGTGTCCAACGTGTCAAAATTCATAACTTTTTAGGATTGACGTGTCGGAGTGTCGTGTCGCGTTGTGTCACGTGTCGCGTGTCGTATCGGTGCTACATAGCATGTGAGTGACCTTTTCTATATAGTGAATAAAGAGTAATAGGGTTTATTGTTTTTCGTCTCAAAAATTTTGTCGTGTGAACTCGTATAATTATGTATTTAAGGGAATATATAATTATAATATTTAAAGTTATTTTTTTTATTCAAAAATTTATTGGCTAATTATAGAAAAAAAAAATTAATATTATAATTATGTATTCCCAAAATACATAATTAATATCTTATTATTGGACTCCCGAGCAACCCAAATAATATCATAAAATTCACAACCGTAAGGCTTTTTCTTTTCTTTCTGTTTTTTTAACCGTAAGGCTTCTTAAAAGAACAACATACATTGAAGCAAATACTAATATACAACCCTTAGAAAGCAGTGGCGGTTGTTATAGATCTTTAGGAGTTCCTTACCTCTAATGCTTATGTAGTTAAAATTGAGATTTTACATAAAATGAGAAGGAAGATAAAAAATCGTAAAATATAAAATCATAACATAAAAAAAATCATAAAAATATAAAATCATAATAATAAATTGAGATTTTATCTACCATATGTCTCCCTAAATCTAATGCACAACTCCTTAGTTAAAGGCGGCAAACGCCCAATTTGTTCGGACAGCTAAAATAGAATGGGATGGGTTGGTCTCTCTTTTAGAAATGAAATGAAAATATTAACTTCAATTCATTTAAATAATAAAAGATTTTAAAAACTTTAAAAAGATTTAATTTTATGAGCTTTATAATATTATTTAATTTCAATCCATACTCTGTTTATTTTTTTTCAATCTCAAACTTAAATGTTTGTTAATATTTAGTTTCTATGAAGAGCAATCAATATATGTTAGTGTGCCTTATTTTATCTATGATAAAACAAAAGTAAAAGAAATTCATCTTTGCGTCCATTTCAGGAATAACATTTTCCATAAATTAAGTGCTTTCTTTCGGTATTTTAAAAACCGGCTCGGACCAGCCGGGTCAACCTGGGTTTCGGTGATCCGGTGAGTTCCTCGGTCCGAGCAGTTATTTGGATCACTTCTGCCGTCAACTCGGTTTGGACCAGTTGATCCGGCCGAAACCCGGTGACTCGGGTTAGACCGGTGGACCCCTTTTTTTTTGTATTTTTTTTTTTGATGATGAAATTTCTTGAATTAAATCATATTCATATTTTATGGTAAATATGATTAAAAAGTAAGTTGAAACTAATAAGGTATTTTAGATTAGTGCAGTTCGTTTATGTAATTTAGTTACATCTTATAATGATCTCATGAAGTTAAGTGGTGATAAATACTAATGGACTCATGATCTCATCTCAACGGTGAACATTTTCTCCTTAGTGTATATTTCATGCATACTATTTGTTATCATGATTTAATTTATCCATATCATGCCAAGCACAAAAGGTGCATTTAGCTTACATTACAATTTTAATTCAATATTAGGAAATAGTCTAGAGCTAGAAGCTTAGAAGTATATAATATTTGTTATCATTGAGAACCAATTTATTTTTTGAAGCTCATTGATAGTTTTTTTATGTGAATTTATAATATAAGTAATATGTTTATATTTTTTAATATATGAACAGTAAATCTGATTCAACCCAGTTCAATCCGGTTAAATTAGTGACCCAGTACCTCGACCGAATCGATGATCGATCCAAGTTTTAAAACACTGCTTTGTTTGCCATCTTTTGTATAGAAGGACTGAAATAAAAATGTTAGATATCACAAAAGTTTAAAACACTACCTTATATATATATATATATATATATATATATATGAGGTAGGATCCTTTGACACCGGTGTCAAATTTTAATTTTGACATCTCATCTAAGAGTCATTAGATCAAAAAAGATCAACGACTCTGATTTGCAAGCATGTGACACCATTGATCTTTTTTGATCTAATGGTTCTTAGATGAGGTGTCAAAATTCAAATTTGACACTAGTGTTAAAGGATCCTACCTCTATATATATATATATATATATATATATATATATATTAAATTGACCAACATGTTGACTCTGTCGATCCGCATATTGACCCATTTCAACCCGTCTTCGTTCGACAATTGTGTTGGATAGGCAGGTAGAAATATGTAACCCAACCCACAAAATTAAGCAGATTAATTAAACAAGTGGACCCGATGGGTACTCTTACTTCACACGAATTTAGAACTCCAAATTAAATAAATAAATAAAGCAATTTCTTACTTTTTAAAGGCTTTCATTCATATTGTCAACAATAATTTCTTGAAAGAAATGATAAAAAAGTTCTACAAATATCATAACAATAATTAATAATAAATTAAACAATAATTAATAATAAATTAAAAAATAATAGTTATAAAGTAAATACATAATATTAAAATTTAATTGTAATGACCGGGATCGTATAATAGAATGACGACAATATTTTCTTAAAAAATGCAGTCATTAGCAATATTTATTGGGTAGTGAAAATAATTGGCAAAACTTTTTGAAATAGGTAATGTTAAGAGTCAATTATGCATAAGGAACGGCAAAAATTAAGACTCATAACACCCATGGTACACCAATCTTAAGATGGCTATCCTAATTTCATTATTTTAATTAATTAATAATCTTAAAGTATTTATTTTACACGTTTTAAGATAATTTAAAAAAGGAAGATAATTTAGATGTATTTTTCTATGTTTACCGTAGGGGTGGCAATATGGGTTACCCGCCAAAACGGGGCGGGTTGGGTTGAGATTTTCAACCCACCAACCCACCTCAACCCGCCCCGCCTAGAAGTGGGTCAAAACGGGTTCAACCCGCTGCGGGGCGGGTTGACCCGCCGGGTTTTAAATTTTTTTATTTTTATTTTTATTTTATTTTTTTGGAGTTACCCAACCCTAATTATCTCTTTTTTATTTTTTTACAATTAGGTAGTATTTCATTAGTACTTAAATTTTTGTGATATTCAATTTTTTTTATCTTAGTACTTTCTAGAAAAAATAAAGAATAACAATTTTATTTATGACAAATGTTATCTATTTATAAATTCCTAAAGAATGTTTGACAAATATTAGTATACATTTAAGATTGAGACTAAAAAAAA